CGAGGTGGAAGTGCATTGATGATAGCTGCAGAAGCTTTATTGGATGTGTGGAGATCCCAAGGCCAAACTGAGCGTGGCGTGTCGCTGAATTCAAATATTGTAATGGAGCCTGCGCAGAAGGATTCTTCACATGACATTGAACAGGCGAGGTGGAATATTTTCCAACGCCTTCTTGAACATCGTGCAGATGTCAACGCCAGAAGTGAAACGGGACGTTATCCAATGACGGTTGCATGTAAGATGGGCAGTTTAGACATGGCGAAGATGCTTGTGGAACGGAAGGCGCGTGTAGACATCGAAAATGGCACTGGGTGGCCTGCATTAATCCAAGCATGTGAACGAGACAATGTGCAATTGCTGTCATATTTGGTATTGCATCGAGCTGACTTGGAAGCCAGACGTCGCCATGGTTACACAGCCCTCTTGGATGTTGCTTCTGGCTCTACGCGATCGGATCACTCACATTCGGAACAAAGTGTTTGAGTTCTTGATTCAGTCGAGAAGTGACTTGAATGCCCAATGTTCTGACGGGAACACTAGTATGCATTTGTGTGTGGAGTTTGATCGACAACATATGTTGAAAATGCTTATTGATGCACGTGCTGATGTTAATATTCGGAACCAGCGTCTGGAGACTACAGCAGACACAGCAAAGCGACTTTCTGCCAATGTCGTGCTTCAAATGTTGAGGAGTAGCGCAGTAGAATTAGGGCATGTGGAGAGGCGGAAGTTTTGCTCTTGCCAAGGTGATGAGTTCTACACGATCAGGCAAGCTAGTGTAATCCTCATAGGGAATGGGGACTACAAGGCAAAGGGTTACCACAGTTTATCCAGCCGCGACGCCGATCTCACATTGATGCGTGACATACTCGCAGGTTTGGGTTTTTGTAGATGGGATACTTGCCGGGATCTTACTGCTGATGAGATGCTTGATGTGATTAACCATTGGTTGACAAATTTGGGTAGGGACACTGATGGGGCAATTTTTTATTATTCTGGTCATGGTGATGACGGCGGACTCATCGGTGTTGATGGCAGTTCGATGGATTTCAAGTTTATTCGTGACCACTTGTGCAATTGCAGAATTTTTCATGGCTTACCCAAGATAGTGTTCTTAGATTGTTGTCGAGGAGTTGCTAAAGAAAGGGTTCGGAGAATTAGTTTCTCTTCGGAAGGACGCAGCATGGACCCAGGCCGTGGAGATGACCCGGGTGCCTACGGACATATTTTGAGTTGTTGCTCATGCTTCTCGGTCTTGGCGCGGGGATGTGAATCACAGTCGTTGACTCTGCCACTCAAAGATGCCGATTTCCTATGTTCTTATGCTACTTCTCATGGGTCTCTCGCTTACAATACCATGAGGTTGCTAAGCTCCCATCCTGATGATGGGCAGGTTGGAGCATTCACGCAGGAGTTAGCGGAGCAGCTCCGCCGCTGCGCTCAACAGTGCTGTCAAAGCTGCGGACTTCCCTGTGGAAGGCTCGACGCCGCACTTCTTCGAGTGAACCGAGCAATTCACAGGAGGCGTTACAAGATTATTTACCGCCAAGCTTGCAATTTCGTGTCTTTCTTGCATCGGCAGATCGGCCTCGCCTGGACTGCACACCCGAGCACGGGCGCAGCCGCTGCCAGGCCACCCTCTGCAGAGCGCCGGGGCCAAGATCGCCACCCACGCGAAGACGTTCGCGTCACATCCCCTCCGCCGTGAGGAGGGTCCTCCTCTTCCTCGCGCTGCTCATCCATCCTCCTTCCTCCTCCCTCTCCTCCTCCTCCTCCTCCTCCTCCTCCTCCTACTTCTCCTCCTCCTCTTCCTCTTCCGCCTCCTCCTCCTCCTCCTCTTCCTCCTCCTCCTCCTCCTCCTCCTCGTCTCCTCCTCCTTCTCCTCCTCGTCTCCTCCTCCTCCTCCTCCTCCCCAGATCCCTGGGGTCACGAACTAGCACGGAGCCAACGCCCAAACACCAGCAGCCTGGGGAGCCCCAGCCCCACTGGGTCGCGCTTGCCGGGCACTTCGCTGTTGCGCCTTCGTGGCTGTTGATTTCGGGCGTGGCTGAGACAGGGATAACGAATCGTTCCAGAGCGTGCCGGAACTCTCGGAGCGCTCCCGAACGCTCTGAGAAGGCCGCGGCGCCCGATACATCCTCCAGAGCCGGATCTCAGAGTCTGAGAGATCCCCCGCTTATCCCTGTCCGATTTGGTCCCCGTCCTGGCTCCGTCTTATGTTGGGCGAACCAAGGCCAATCCCGTGCCCGCGACTCGTCGCTCGGGCGGTGGCGCTCTGCGGGCCGCCTCCTCCTCCCTCCTCCTCCCTCCTTCCTCCCTCCCCCTTCCTCCCTCCCTCCTCCCTCCTTCCTGCTTCCACCTCCCTCCTTTAATTTTTCGTCCGAAATCCCCCTGTAGGAGGACGTGCCCGACCTAAGTCTTCCCGTCTGCGCCCCGGGCGCCGCCGGCAGTCCGCCCGGATCCACTCGTCGTCTGTCAGAGGCGACGATAGGGGCGAACA